ATTATCTTTATTTTATGTGTATGAGTGTTATGCCTGCATGTAAGTAAGTGCACCCGTGTCGTGCAATGCCTGCAGAGGACAGAAGAGGCTGTCGGATCCCCTGGAACTGGAGTTATTAGACAGTTCTTAGCTGCCATATGGGTGCTGGGAATCGAAGCCAGGTCTTCTGCAAGAACAGTCAGTGTTCTTAACCAGTGAGCCATCTCTCCAGCTCCATAGTTTATTTTTCTTACTTTACCTAATTCATAAAATTCACCAGGTAAGTGATTTGCTATGACACAGCACTCTTCTCAAAGGTATGGGAAAAAATCTTAGATAGAATGAAATGTTGAATCTTTGCCATGCCCTGGAAAGCTCTCCGGTTGATCCTGCTGCCCTCTCTGATCTCATTTCCTGCCAGTCTGCCCCTTATTCACATCTAATCTCAATACCTTCCCCATTGCTCTGTGGAGATGCCAAGCATGTTTCTACTGCAGATCTTTTGAATGTCTGATTTCATTTGCCTGCAATGTGCTTCTTCCCAAAGCCACAATAGTTTGCTCTCTTACTTCATTTGAGCGTCAGTTCAGCCACATCAGAGTTGTTGTCTCTTTGTACTTATTCTGCTTTAGATTTCCTCATAGGTTGACTTTCTTATCTGAACTGCTTGGGACTCGAAGCGTTTTGGATTTAAAAAGAAAGATTTATTTATTTTTATGTGAATGACTTTTTGTCTGCATTTGTAATATGCACCACATCCATGCAGTGCCTAAAAGGTTAGAAGAGGGTGTCAGATCCCCTGGAACTAGAGTATAACTGTCTGGGTCCTGGGAACCAAACCCAGGTCCTCTGTAAGAGCAGCAAGTTTTCTTAACCCCTGAACCATTCCTCCAGACCCTTTTTTGATTTTGATATATTTGCTTATACATAGTGAAATATCTTGAGAATGAGACTTAAGTCTGAACATAGAATTCATTCAAATTTCCTATGTACCTTGCACATATAACCTTGAAAGTAATTTTAAACAATATTTTTAGTGTACATGCATTTTGATAATAAACTTTCATATGAGGTCAGATATGGAGTTTTCCACTTACAGTGTCATTTTAGCATTTTAAACAATTGAATTTGGAGGCATTTCGGGTTTTTGACTTTTGAATAAGGATGCTCAATCTGTATAGTGTGGTATATTTACTTAGTATTAGCCTTCTCCATGACATGTAAGCTTCATGAAAACAAGGGACTCTATGTGTTTAGTATCAAGTCGTTATTGTCTAGTAGAGATGTAGAATAGCACATGGAAGGTACTTAAAAATTTTGTTAACTTAAGCAAATAAAATTGTGTAATATTTCTAATTGCACAGGTACCCAGTATTCTTTAAAATTAGAGTTAATATTGGGATATATGTTGTAAGTGGATCTGAGTTATGTACTATGACCTACTGGATTGAAAAAATCCCTTAATGTTGTTGCTAAGAATATAAAATGTTAAAATTAATGTGATCTAAGAATAAAAACTGTTTGGTCTCTGAAAGATTGCGCTTGAAGATCATTGAGTATAAACGTCTTATGTTAAAGACCAGAACCCTGAGATCAGGTGATCCTGCAGATGTCAGAGGCTATGCAGCTTGGTAGTCTCAGACCTCTGATGTTCTGTGTGGTACATTTGAGTTCTGGGCTTCATATAACCTATATGTGTGGGTGTTTGATTTCCCACTTAAGTTCAGTTTTTAATTATATTGGTTTTTTACTTGGAACTTCTAAAAGTTTATGTTATAATAATATTTTCTCAATTTCTAAAATCTCATAGTTTTTGCATACTATTGGGTGACTATTGGGGATCTTCTTTGGTATTCTTCCATCTTTTTAAGTATCTGTTTGAATGTCTTACATTTCACAATTAAAATTACAATCAATAGGTAAAGCTAATTCATTGTGATAGATGCACCTAAGCCTGAGCTTGAGCTGTAGTGAATGAATATAGCCATACTTGAGCCATATTCAGTCAAGCTATTCAGTCTTGTTGCTTATGCCAGGCATGAGTTGAAAAGAGGCTATCTTATATTCTTTACCTCCTCCTCTCTGCTATTCCTCAGATCCATAAAGTTTCCAAGTGTTGCATATAATAATTAGTTCTCTTTTGGTAAGCTATTGTCTACTAAGTACTGGACATTGTAGAAATTTTGTGATTCAGTTGCTTATGGTCAGAGAAACCATAAAGAACCAGTAGCAAACCAAGAAGCTAGTTGAATTCTTTACATAATACTATTCCTTGTTGGTGAAAAATGAGCAACTTCATTTAAGAATGACCAGCAAGGGTGTAGGGGAAATATCTACAGAGTGTAGGTTGCTTTGTACTTGGTTGTGCTCAGTGAAACAGGTTGCCTTCATAATAGTTCCTCAGTTTGGGAATGAATTTTTCCACTTGTTTCACTGCTATTTTTTCAATAATGAAAAGGAACATTCTTTTTTTTAAGGTTTTAAATGAGATTTGTAAAAATCATTTATTTTCATATAGAGAAATCAAGTAACTGTGCCTTTCAAAGGTACATAAGCATTCTTAGCTTAGAAAGAGTCAATGCACCTTTAAATATGCCCAATTTACAACCAGAAAGTAACTCAAAGCTCTTGGAGAGTTTGACACAATGAAGTAGATTGGCTTCATTTTCATTTCCCTCTAAACCACTCTGTAACATACATAAATTCTTGGTCTGTAATTATTAAATAGAGGTATTTGAATGCCTCCTAGTGGCATATTGTGTACTATAATTAAGGAGTTGGAAATATTATTTTTTGAAAGAGTACTATGATAAATTCACACAGCTTATAAATGCACTAAAACAGTCTGTGATAATTAAAATTATTTTCCATATAACATTAATGAAAAATATGACTGGAAAATATATAATACATGCAAAAAAAGATTATTGAAAATTGTAATGGTTTAGATTAGGTTATCTTCATTGATCTGTTTTATTTAATACAGCTATTTCACACTGACACAAATGTTGCTGTTAATGAGATTTGGATTGCTTTGTGTACATTTATTGCTTTAGTTGTGATTACCATGTAGGTATTTTAACTTCTTTGGAAAAGGATTGAGGTAATTCCTTATAGAAAGTCTGTGGTTCATTTTCATGTAGTTTTTAAAAATTCTCACTTTCAAGTTGAATATAATGATTTAATTGTGATCTGAAATGGAGGGTATAGTAAAACTTTTAATGTTGAAAAAGAATGCTGGTTTAATTACTCCTTTAGCACTAAACCTACTTGATATCTATGGAGATATTTAAAATGGAAAGAACATCATATGGAAAAAAATAAGATAAGGATCAGTTGGAAGGGAGAAAAAAAGTGGTATCTCTTTGATAAGCATTAATTTTTTTAATTAACTGCATGCCCAAAGAAAACAATTAAAATGGCAATTACCTTTAAAGTAGCAACAATGTAATTACAGCTGTTGTGATATAAAGCTAGGAAACAAAATGTTAATCTGGAATGAGCAGTTTAAATATGAAATTATGATATACTTGGCTTCGTGTAGTACAGCTGTCAAGCTTGGGCAGTTCGCTGGTCAATAGTGACATTCTATGTGTCAGTGAACAGAGTCTCTTGATACCATAACCCGCAGTTCACACATTACTGAAGCTCCAACTGTCGAACATTCAAGTCCCCTGGTATTATTGCAGCTTCCAGACTCTCCTGACTGGCTCATGTTTCATTCTTTGGCAATTTGCCCTAATGATATCCCTCAGGAGCTTTCAGCCTCTCTTCCTTTCCATATTTAATCGTGTTGTATTAATCTGAGTGATGTGCAAACTGTGCTGCGCAAATTGTAATTTCCTACAGTGTTTTCTAAGATGCTCACCGACTTTTTCAGTTTTTCTATTTATGTTCCAAATTTTGACCCCAAATATATTTTCAGGTTGAATATAACCTTCCCAAGAAGGTCCTTTTGCTGTTTGTGTGTTTTTCAGAGGGCCTCTGAGACTAGATTTTACATGTAGAATTGGTAAAGACAATGTGAGTTATGTCACTGTTAAATTGTTCTCTGATGATCACTCATCTTCACAACCTTGAACATGCTTTTGTTTGGAGGGTCAGCAGCTCCTTATTATTGATATCCTTTTGTGAATTTCAGTTAACTGCCTGTCTCCATGGATCGGCTGCTCTGCTCTACCCAATGTACTGGCAGCACATATACATCCCTGTGCTTCCTCCACACCTGCTGGACTACTGCTGGTAAGTCAGCTTTTGCTAGACTCCTATAGCTCCAAGTTTCACATTTATAAAAAAACATTTATTTGTAGATTATGTAATCTTTATTTATATATATACATATATATCCTATCCTATAATATATACAGAGATATTATACAGATCATCTATCATATATAGAAATTTGACTTTTAGATCAGTGCTAGGTATTAAAGAGTACTTTTATGTGTATCAGAGCAATTATTTCCAAAGATAAAAAAATTTATACTTGGCAAATATAAGATTCTTTAAATTTTGCAGATTTCTTGAAGTCATTTAGAAAAGTAAGTACATAAGTAAGAAATATCATTTCAGTTTGTGGTTTGAAATTCATACAGGGGTTATGGTATTAGTTAGAGAATATAATATCCCAGGTATCAGAATTTGTCTATCAGATCTACCTGTAACTAGCTGACTTTGGTAGGGTGAGCCTTCATTACCTTTATCTCCGGACACACTTTCCTAACTACTCTCTTCAGTAGCATGCCGAATACTGAATACTGACAAAGTAGTTTCAGTATCAGCCAGAGTCTCAGTGACCAAGAACAGCTGTGTTGAAAAGTTTTGAGATAATTGTGAGAGAGGGCTGGCTTAGAAAGAACTCCCAATGATCTCAGCAATCTGAGTCCAGTCAGTCCTCCAGAAATTAGAACAATGGCCATGACCTCCTTGTGCTCTATGGTTCCAGAAGTCTGCATGAGTATAGTAGGGCTAGACCAGGGCTAGACTCCAAATCTATAGCTTTGGTACTAGGGGACAAAATAATCTCTTCATCATATAATCATTTGCCCATGCTTAGCTTAATTTTACAGAAATTTGATGGGATTTTTCTCTGAGAAGTATGATTATTATACATGTGCACACTCACACACAGGGTTGGGGAGAGGCAGACACAGAGAGAGGGAAATCATTTTGGCATAGGTTGTTTCCTCCTATCACAGCTAGTATTAGTGAAAAAGTTCTTTGGAATTAATGTATTTAAACATTTTATGAAAGATTATTTAATGTTAATTAACGATTGTAGTGATTTAAACATAGAATTGTTTACACACAGGAGTGGTTGGTGTTCTAGTTTTTGTGACTAGCTCCCTTCAGAACAATATGTACACTGTCCATATTGATTCCACTGCTGTTCTGTGTTTCCATAACTTGATAGCACTTTTGACAATGCTGAGTGGTAGGCACCTAGTGACCCACTCCTGCTCTTTCCTTGGGGAACTTTAAAGGAAAAGTGTTTTTGCAGACTATAGGAAGGTAATTTAAATATATTGTAAAGTTTAGCATATGCAAATCAGACTATAAACCAGATCAACGAGTAAGTTCTTTCTTATTCATTTTAGAGTTTTCTTGACCAACAACTTACATTGTTTTTACACCTTAAAGGCAAGACTATAGATTTTTTTCCTGTTCATGTAGGCAGCAGATCTTTGTATACAGTGTTCAGTAATAGACATTTATTTTAAAATTACCTTTTAATAAGTCTTATGAAATTAAAAATGTTATTCAAAGAACTCTATGAGGATTAAAGAGTTTATCTTTTATGAAAGTTGCATTTTGTAATGTTAGTGCCATCATAATTTTTCTATTATAATGTTCTAGCCTCTTTAGAGATCATACAGCTTTAAGCTTTAAGCTCATTTCTTTTAAAAAATTTCTTTTATTATTACTACTACTATAATCATTTTTCAAGACAGACAGAGCCTTACTATTTAGCACTGGCTGGCCAAGAACTCCCTACATAGACCAGGCTGGCCCTAAGAGTTCTGCATGCCTCAGCCTCCTGACTGCTGGGATTGAAGGCATGTTCCACCACACCTGGCTCTAAGTGTAATTCTTTGTAATGTTATGCATTTAAACATTTCTAAAATGTTATTTAAAACTATTTAGTGGCACACAAATTCTTTCCAGTACTGTTTTTCTGATTCTGACCCTGCTATCAAAGCTTTTACTGCTGCTTCCACTATAAAGAAGTTTGTTCTTTCTTTCTTTATTTTTTTGAATCCCTAGAACTTTCTTTTTAGTTTTCTAATTAAGACAAGTTATAACAAACAGCCTTTATGCCTGGTCCAGAGTAGAGTAGTGCCACCCAAACAAGGAATTATTTGAAACTTTCTGAATCCTAAGGTTATATTATAGGCTCAGCTTTTATCAAAGGCTCAGTCAATCTAGCTGTCTATCTGACTTCCTTTTAATGTCAATAAATAAGTTGGATTAAACAGTTTCCAAGGAAAAATAATTTCCTCCTTTTATAGCCTAACTAAATGTTATAATCATTTATGCTAAAAGTAGAAAATATTGTGTTAGCCTTTAAGTCTTAGGGTTGAATAAAATGTTAATTCATATTCAAGTTCAAACTGGTGCCAAAAATTTTTGAGGAGTAGATGTATCTTTCTTAACTTTTTATAGTGATTCGGATGGTCCAAACCCGGAATAGTAGTAGATCCACTAAACATTTCTGTGTTTGCACCTGGTATCTGTGATATGCCATAGAATGGACAGCCATATGCTCCCTTGGGACTATGGATGAATACAGCATCTTGGTTCTTTGACAGTCTTACTACATTGTTAGTCTGTCTCTCCATCCTTCCATCCTTCTGTCTTTCCATCCATGACCCATCATCCCTCATCCATCATCCCTCATCCATCCTTCCATCCTTCCATCCATCCATCCATCCATCCATCATCCATGATCCATCATCCCTCATCCCTCATCCATCCATCATCTATCATCTATCTATCCATCTATCCATCCATCCATCCTTTAGTGACCACATTTTTGTTAAGTTGTGAATATGTGATCAATTAATACATTTCTTTGCTTGTATATTCGCAGGAAGAAATATATACATATATGTGTTTATGCACACAACTATATGCACACATACAGAGCACAGAATAATACTGTAATTACATAACAGAGTCACACAAAAGAATCATAGGTGGGAACATATAGAAATAAGTGGACAACACTCTTGCTAAGTTAGGAAAAGCTCTTTGGAGGAACTGACAACGTCCATGTTTTCTCCTTAACCAAGTGAAATAACAGGTCTTCAGTATGGCAAATTGATGCTCAGACACTTTCAAACTTTCTGGATCCACGAGCTCATAGAAGGAAGTGTAAGATCACTAAGTTACCATAGATTCCTACTTGCTCAATGAACCATTAGACAGTCTTTTTATTTAGTTGGTTTCTCAGATTCTTTGAAACTATCAGATTCAGCTCTTAAAACCTTTTTTCAAAAATATTTTATTTTATTTTTTTATATATATTTTACATGTAAAGAGGCTGTCGGATCCCACTGGAACTGGAGTTACGGACAGTTGTTAGCTGCCATGTGGGTGCTGGGATTTGAACCCAGATCTTCTGCAAGAACAGTCAGTGTTCTTAACTGCCAAGTCATCTCTACAGCCCCAAAACCCTTTTTTTTTTTAATGGAAAGTTATATTCTTTCAGACAGTTGCTGTTATAGCTGTGTCATGGTGGCTTCTTAATAAGGAAAGATTAGGAAAAATGTCATTTTAAAGAGAGTCTAGGAAGCTGGGCGTGCAAACTATCTTCTTGCTCCAATGTTTCCAGCAATGATTCATGAATTACTTTGCAGTTTTGTTTCTTCATAGCATATTTTAAAATGTATTTTCACATCAGCAAAAAAAAAAAAAAAAAAAAAAAAAAAAAAAAAGTCTAAACAGAGAAGAAACAGCTATTTTAGAGTCACCTGTATTCTGTCTTTTCTAAGCAACCTCAGTGACAGAAGAACCTAGGACAGTCGAATCCTAATAAAGTATCTGTGTTATCACAAAGTTCTTCTTCACTCACTAACACCAAATTATGAGGTTTCAGTTAGGATTGTAAAATTACTTTTCATGAGATTTGGCTTATTCCACAATAGGATATATACAGTCTAATATGAAAAAGAGAAAAAAGAAACACCTATCCATTTAACTCTATATTCAATTAGCACTATGTTCTGTAAAATAGAATTATTCTAGAAAATTACATTGTAGTTTAGTGTTTTAAATTCAAACATCTGTATGTTTTGAATTTTGCTATAAAATGATGAGATAAAAAGAAACCACATGATGATCCTCAGTGAGCCCATAAAAAAAAATCGAGTTACTTTACTATGAAAGTTTATATAAGAGCTTTTTGTTGTAATTTTGGTTTTAGGTTAATTTCTATGATCTATTATCTGAAAAAGTAAATAGAGGACTGAAGAGATGACTCAGTGGTTAAGAGCAGTGGCTACTCTTGCAGAGGACCCAGGTTTGGTTCCCAGCACCCACATGACATCTAACAACTGTCTGTAACTCCAGTTACAGGGAATTTGGCACCCTCTTCTGGCCTCTGCAGGCATTTTACACATGGATGCACTTTATACATGCAGACAAAACACTTACGCATATAAAATTAAGAAAGAAAATAGCTTTCATAAACATTTCAAAGTGTTTTTCTGGATGTATTTTCTAGGATTGTTTAGTAGTTTAAGACTCCTGTTTTCTCAAACTATGCTCTACTCAATGTCCAACACTGTAAGATGAATATAGTGATTATTTTTATAAGGCTTGAATATTTTGATTTACACCCTTTTATTAAAATGTACTTTGGGATTTGACTTTCTATTCTTCATAGATTTTCTGTATCATATATCTTCTTGGTATGATAGTCTAACTTCAGGGGAATTGGGAATTTGCACAGCAACTTTAATAATTTTATACTAGTTTCATTTTGGTGGACTTGACATATTTAAGATATTGGGATTTGGCCAGCTTATTTTGTGACAGTTGCCCAAAGCTGCCCTCGGAGCTAGGATAGTGATCTGCATTTTATGCCTTCTGTGGAGTCCTAGAAGGAACCCCAGGGATGAGACCTTGAACTAAAGAAAGAAGTAACTAGCCTCCCTTATTTCAGCAAAAGGGGAGCGGTCCACAATTGTTTCTGTTTCCTTCTGAAGGCAGAAAATCTGTTATGTCGAAGTGCCCAGAATATCACATCAACTCCAGATGGCCAATTGCATAAAAAGTAAAAAGAATAGGAAGTAACAAGCCACAGACAATTGGGATTTCGAATCTAGTACAATAGTAATGAACTGTGTGTGCACAGACTAATGAGAAACAAAATAAGAACTTTAACGTGTCTTTGGGGGTGCTAGGTATATAGATTACTATTTATTCATCCTTAAACTTGAAACTTTTTGAGATGGCTTTGAAACTTCTGGACCTATCAAGGTGTTTGTTAGCTTATCTACTACTAGTTTTCAGTAGCAAAGTGCACATCTAGTAGTTTGAATAACTCTGTTTAATGGTACTGATACCTAGAAAATTAGATAATCTTTTGAGAAACAGGATTATCTGTTTGAATTAGCATTAAATATTAAAAGTGTCTTTAAAAAATTTCTCCCCAAATGTTAATTTTTAAAAAGCTATTTCTTCTCATATATTTCATCATTTTCGTAGACATTTGTTCATTCTCATGTTTTCCTGTCAAGGTGATTTCATTTGAAATTTCAAGATAGATACTTTTCATCTTGTATTTCCTAATAACTATTTCTAAAGTTCATCTAATTCAGATTTTATGTACTAAAATTATTTAATACCTGTAGTTTCTGCTGGAGTGTAGGATCTAGAGGAAATGCATTCCATCTGTATTGTTTGTTGCTGTTCCTAAGCTCCTATCCTAGTTTTTGGCATCTGGTATGCTCCAAATATAATGAGCCAAATTAATATTTTCAAAACCATTTTTATTCTCAGAATTTAATTTGTTAAAATTATTATATTAGTAACAAAGAGGGTGGAATGTCTAAATTCATAAAATTTAAATAAAAGATAAGGCAGGTGAGGGTCAAGATCACAGACTGGGAGAACTTTTCATATTTGTGTCTTGAGTTTCACAGCGGTGCCTGGTACAAAGCAAGACTCAATAAATATTTGATAGTTAAATGACTGATGGATACAATAAAAATTGGGTGACATAATTGGTGTGAAACAATGAAGATTCATTAAAAATAATAGAAATAGTTGAATTGAACAAAATATTGTCAAGTGTTTAGAAGAGAGTCAACTGTGGCATAGACCCTGACAATCTTCTTAATGAAACATGTTATTTAGGTATAGAACTGTTGGTTTAATGATTCATGATTCAGTGACTTTTTAAAATATAAACCAACCTTAAAATATTAATGGTCTCTAAGATTAAATTAAACGTTTATATATTGAGTCATTTTGAATATATGTACTGTGTTATGCTGGAACTGAGCACTTAAAAATTAATTTTAAGCATCTGAATGACCTGTATATTGTTTTAGTTTTAATGAGCTATATGAATCTATTACACACACATGTGTACACACACACACATACACACACAAACACACACACACACATATATATATATTATATATAACTTTTTCTTTTTTTAAATTTAGTGCCCCAATGCCATACCTGATTGGAATACACTCCAGCCTCATAGAGGTGAGTATTATTCACAGTAAGATAGTTTTAAAGCTAATTAGTTAAAAATAATAGTTAAAAGAGTTTTGTTTGAAAGAATATCAATTGAATAATACTAGGAAGTACTAGAGTCACATTAAGAATATACTTAAATATGTCATTTTCAAAAGGACAACATTGGAATAATTTCACTCTAAGTAGCTTATTAATTTACCTTTGTTAATGGCATGAAACCTCTGAAAACAGGTTGTGTTTCAGAGAGGTCACATAGTAAGTTTTAAACACTAAAAAGGTTAATTGTGGATGGGTGAACCACTTCTTTCTTGGAACTTGAGATCTTCTGTGTCTCTTATTCAAGACAGTATATTGAAAATTAAAATTTATATGATTATGAGTCAAACAGTTTTATTTCACAAAACTATTTCCAATTTATCAGTTGCTTTTCAAAATGTGATTTTGACATACTACTGATACACTTGTTAATTAGAATGTAGCTTCTTGCTGAGTATAGTGACTCATGCCTGTTACCCTGTTCCTGAGAAGCTGAGACAGGAGTTCCATAAGTTCAAGGCCAGCCAGCTACATAAAAGAAAAAGAATATAGCTTTCCTAAGTTTTGATTTTCTGTCCTATTGTCGGATATAAAATTTAGTATTTTTTTCTGTTGTCATCACATCATTTCAAAATTATTTTTGTCATTTACTTTATCCCTGTAGGGAAACTCCTTAAACACCCTGACCTTACAATCAGTGAGATTTCCAGAGCCCACTTCTTGTAAAATTAGCATATAAATCAACAAAAGGTTTGTATTCAAACAGAAGGCTTGAGTTAACTGATGTCAGTTTCATTCAAACAAATTCTTTTTGTACAGAATAGCAGATTAACAATTTAAAATAATTTCTAGTGAGCAAACCAAAGGTGTAGTTTTCTTACTGCTATCACTAGTATACCACATTAGGCCTAACTTTGATCAAAGAAGATTCTATTGCTATCGTTTAACTCCCAAGGATCATACTACAAGAGAGTCATACCTTTATAAAAGGCTTGGATTTTAGAATTCTACTTATTCTCAAGTTTTTGGCTTTTTTTTTTTTTATTTTTGAAAAATGCTAGGGCAATAATCCATTTATCTACCATTAAAAAGGAAAAGATTTTAATGTATTTTGATACATTTAGTATGTTCTTAATATTGAAGTCTGGGTAGGATAAATGTATAATTCCTTATATTTTATTAATTTAAAGAAAATTTCTTATAAGCCCAGGTATTTACATTAAAGGGTAAAGTGTATGAAATGAAACAGCATCAGCATCTAGATAATCTATAATTAGATCATGCAGTATAGAACTGGAGTTTCACTAGTTTGATTTCATATAAATATTTGCTTGGACTTTTTTTCGTAAATTTGATTTTCATATTAGTGTACATGTGTTTCCCTATTTAATGTTAATATAATAGTTTTTTGTAATTTATTTATAGAGATGGAAATGATTTAAAGTTGTTGAAAGTGCCTGTTGGTCTTATGCTGTATTTTATGTATAGGTATGATTCTATAGCAACTTCTAAAATTAAAAATTAGGTTTTTACAAACTACAATAGATAAAGAAGCATGTTAAATATTCAGTTTTATTTTTCACTTATTTATTTTCCACTTATAAAGAAAGGTTAAATTTAAAAGAATTATTTACTTTTTGAAAAATGTCTTGGAGATTACCATTCTAACTTTAAATTGGCTCCTCTTATTAGGTGAGAATGTTTAGAGCCATTACTCAATTGCGTGAAATTTCCAAACTCTTTATATTTTGTGCTTACCCAAATATCTTGATAGCTTTATTTGCTGTATCTGGTTTAAAAGCAAAGAAAGTATACTTTGAGCCTCCAGAATTCCTTTAACCCACTTGCATATCACTTGGTGACTTTCTTTTTAAGCAGTTGCAAGGTGATAGTCCATTATCATGTCATATCATTATGTCCTGTCAAACTGATTTCAAACTAAAATTTATAGCTTTTGTACTTTTATTCAATAATAAATAAAAGTTAAACTGGATATAGGTATTTATGTAGTTAGTATATGAGATTGAGCTAAGAACTTTTTGCTGTTGTTTGGGCAATTAAAACTATTTTTAAGAAAAAAAAGTCTCATTTTGGTCAAAACAGTTTTAGGATGTAATATAAATTTTATAAAAATTTCCAGCCATACTGGTTCTGGAGTATGAAATTTATGTTCTTTGAAATCTTTCTTTTACTAGTTTTTGTATAATTGTAAGTAAAGAATGATGAAAAAAATCTTTTGAAAATAGAAATTTACTTCTAATTTAAGAGTAATAGAGGTTTTACTGTCTCTGAAAACTAGACTTCAGGGATGAACTCAGTGTTGACTAATCCATGTACTAGATTGTGAATGAATTGGAAGCTTAAAATATAAGGGCAGTCTTGTTTTTTTAATGTATAAAGGACTGAATGGAATGTTGGTTCCATTTTGTAAGGTCCTCTGATTGCTGAACTATGCCAGTGCTTTAATGAGTATGTAGATAGCCATATTTGGGAGGGTTAAATATACAGGGTATGCAAGAGGCCCACCAGTTCTAATACCTGCCTGCTGTTCTTCTGTACAAGCCCTTCAGACTGTGTCCAGTATTAGTTTCTTAGTTTTGAAGAATAAGATAAAGGCAAATTCTTTTTCTGTATTTCTCCTAAATTACATGTCATAAATGTATGAGACATAAAAATACAAAGCAGAGTAAGAGGTACCATTTATGCTATGTCTTTGGAAAAGAAATAGTAATGCTTGATTTGGATGGAAAAAATATAACACTGATACTAACATGTTCTCAAATACTTAACTGCATCCTACTTTTTCTGTTTTTTTTTTTTTTTGCTTATATAATTTATTTCAATATTAGGGCTTCTCAGTTTATTTATTAGCAATGGATAGATATTTTCTATGCTTATTTAGTGGTCCCTTGAACAGAATATATTTTTTGTCCACTATCTTGTTTGTAAATCTAAAAGTAATTAAAAAATGTCTACATTTCATATAAATACCTTTATTCAGACTTTTGTATTAAATGTCATCAAAGAAGCATCTTCATTACACATGATCATTATCTTGCAAGTATTTAAACAAACTCATTTCCTCCCTGAAAAAAAATATATTCACCCTTGTGGATTATATATACAGTTTCTCTGTCATAAGGACAGCATAAAAAACAAAGATGGTTTTCATAGTCATGAC